GTTGCTGAACGAAAACATTTGTTAGAGAAGGTAATCATTTTTAATTCTGTTCATCTCAAATATTTTAAGAAAAAACAAAAATGATAAGATTAAATGATGGAGTGCTAGCTAGATAACTTAGTACATTGTTTTATGTGGAATACTTTGTTCTTAACATTTGTAAAGTATTTGTTAAATTTTTTGAGATTTATTGTTTATCGAAGTCCAACTACTTAGTGTGTGGTTTTTTAATTTTTTATTTTAAATTTGATATATATGATGTCATTCTGCTGTCTGTTTAAGCTATTGTATTTCATATCTGCAGCTGTTGTAAAGAAATACAATCAATCAGTCAACAATTTTATGGAACATGGTTTTAGAAAGGTTTATTAATTTTTTCAGGAAATGATTCATTTATTCGAAAAAGCAGATTATGGTATGCAGTATAGAGCTCTAAGTCATACCGGTGCAGTCTTAGGGTCAATGTCAGAGACAGGTATACCAAGTTATGAACCAGTTCTGAGTAAGGATGATAAAATTGGCACAAATAGAGATGAATGAAAGACTGAATTATTTTAAAGAAAAATGATCCAAAAACTACTGATTTGAAACCTATGATGTTTTATCATTCAGTGATTTTATCCAATTTTTAAGCGATCAGACAGATGGGTTTACTTCGCTAATTGTGTAATGATGTAAGTTTGTATTAACTATTAATTATATTATTATGAAGATAAATTCTAAGACGGTGGGGATTTTCGCCTTTTTGTTCTTCTTGATCTATAGATACTCATGTAGATTCTTTTGAACTTTGCCTAGTTTTATATTTAGTATACTTCTATTGTGATTTAAATAAAGTGCTTACAATTTTGATCCTTAAAACAGAATTTGTTAACTTAATTATTATTTGTATGTAGAGCTGATAGTTACGTGATAATTCTTCGCAACTTCACATGTGAAGTCTTAAGCACTAAGGTGTAGTAGATTGTAGGAGAAATAATATGTAAAGTGATATTAAATTATAGCCGAAATATTTTGGTTGCTAGGAGCACATGTAATATCTTATTCAACTGACACAATTTGCAGCTGTTATGTAAATCTTATTTTGGAATATATCTTGATATGTGTACGTTTCATCAAATTGTTAATTACAATTTACTTTTAAAATTACATCATATTCAAATAATGTGTTTGGTCCCATGTGATACATAGCACCATTTAAATGGTATTTTATAGTATCTTCATTTCCAAATAATATCAGATAAGAAGACGAGTAATCACACTTAAATGTTAATTTTATCTAAAAGGTGCATTTAATAAATATTAATTAAAGTGCAAAAGTTCACTTTTAATTAATGTTTATTAAATTAATATGGACCGTGAACGAACAATTGTAGCATTATTTAAAGTATATTACCTGAAACAAATACTGCGTTAATAGAAAAAGTATTTTCAGTCTTATCTGAAATAATTGTGCAATTATATACTGAAGTTTCATTTCATTTATGTTTTATAAATTAAACTAAAATACGAATCATCAATTCGCATCTACTAAGCAAATACATATCACAAAAAAGGGATCAAATCTAAATGGCATTACTTAGTAATTCTCTATTTAGTGTTCACAACCATAGCATTCTCAAATTTGCGCATGTTAAATTTTCCACATGGAACGTATATTCTTTATAAGAATCACGCAGGCTTATTTCATATATTCAGAAACTCTGCTACCAAAGCTTTTGAAAACTTTCATGCAGTTTTTTAATATTGACATATTCGATGTAGTCATTTCGATTCATGTGATGAACTTAACGATGAATGATGGATGATATGCAAAGAATTCATAAATGAACAATCATTATATAGTTCAGAATTTTAAACTTGCGTGTGTGGTAGTGCTGTGGTTCATTTTTTGTTTGCAACAATGAAGACAATTGCATCTTTAGTTGAACTTATACTTTTTGCAGGCAATTCGAATTCATACTCTGCGTTTTAGTGACAGAAAGTATATGTTCAGCAAACAAAAAAGTTTTTATTATAACTTCTGTTGTCAATTTGCATGTCAAGAATATTCTTCTACTAAATGCAAGGTAAAGTTTGAAAATTAACCATGTTTGCATGTAAAATAAAACTAAGATTTGAAGAATAGTTGTGGGAGATGCCATGTTACTGAACAAACGGCTAATAACTGAAACTTTTCGACATAAAAAGTATGCAGCAATGCTAATTGAAAAAAGATAGTGTGCACATATGCAAAAATAATGCGCACCATCAGAACATTGCTGTAGCTGTTGGTCTTTTCAGTAACTGAAAATGAATTTTGAGAAAGCATATGTTTGGGACGTGTACAAGCGTCTAGCCTCACTTCCAAATGCTAAGGATCAGCACCAAACAACACGTAGATCCTTACCTTGGGTTAATGTTCAAAAATTTGTTAGCCAGCTTCCTCTGGGCACAATTGCTATTGATATTGGCGAGTTTTCTCTTTCCTATACTACTTTAATTACGAATAGTGAATACCGAATAGAAATATCTGTTGTATTTATGATAATAATCTCATTAATTATTAAATGATAAATACATTAAAGATGCTCATAATCAGT